ACGCTTTTCGATTCTCTATCTCTCCCTCTCTCTCTCTCTCTCTCTCTCTCTAGCGCATATTTATTTGCACTTCGATTTTGTTCATTAAGTTAAAGCAAAGAAATGTTGTCGTCGTCGCCGCCGATTGTCGTCTTTTGTTGTTTATTTGTTTTGTGCCAACGCGTCGTATTAGTAATTTATATTTATTTAAATTTGTTATTGCACTACTGCAGCATTTTTAATTACACATCGACTGTCTTCGCAAGGGTGTTCAACAGAACAGAGTGAGGCTGCAATCAATTTGGATTTCAGCAGCTGCCAATATTTCATCTTTGGACAGGTGGTGGAGCTTCCCAAGGTTCCATCAATTCTAAGCTTAGCTTTGCAACTAATTAGAAGGCGCAGAGCTCAGCAGATCGAGGGCGAGAGAAGCCACAACAAGTAGCAATTCAGCTCTCACATAATTAGTTTGCACAGATCGATGTATATTTATTTCTAAGGTTAACTCTGCCACTAATTAGATGGTACAAGTATAGTCGTCAACAGATCAACACCATAAAAATAAATGGCTCTCTCACATGTTAAGTGTGCCACGATAAATATACACTTTGGACTTCTGAAACTAAGCTACAAAAACAAAGATATAGCACTTCCCTCATTATTCTTTTTTATTGTGTTTGTCCCTAAAGTAAAAGCTCGAAATATTCCGACTTACAGAGTTGAAATTGTAAGACATATTTATATTCGGTCCCAGAATTGTTTCAATCTATTTATCGCGTCAGTAACTCATCCAGCGACGCCAGAAAACAGAGTCAGCAACCACGCTATGTGCCGGCAGAGAGTTGAACTTTCGTCATACTAAGTACTAAAAAATAATGCATGTTCCCGATTGCACACAAATCGATCTCTGCCTGTCCTTGATAAAGTCCAACATTTGGCGCGGTAGCTAAACATTTTTGATAGAATGTTCACGAAAGAAGGACGTATCCGTTGTGGGAAAAAGTGGACGACACAACGCCGGTTCCATTTATCGATGTAAATACATATTAGCAATAAAGTTATTCACAGAAATTACATTTCTCACAAGCGACCTGAAATTAATCAACCGTTGCCTTCAAAAGGTTTTCAAATTATTGCGTAAACCTTATTTCGAAGAATTTATTTTTAGGAAACTTTTACACATTTTCTATAGCATTGTTATAACGATCTTTACTTAGGCACACACGCATAGTGAATCATTTGCATTGCTCCGACGCTATTTCTGGGCAAACAATCAGCCCTCGGTCGACGACATTTCAAAATCCGTACCCGTTCTTTATAAGGAAAGTGGCAGGCTTAGATAACACACACAAAGAGGGAGAGATACACACACACACACACACACACACTCACAAACAATTAGCAAATAAATTTTTTGGTTAAAAAGGAAAAATCGCATGCAAATCCAATATTTATTCAAGCGATAAAACTGCGAAGCTTTGGTGAATATATTTTCTCTTCGCTTTTGCAAAACAAGTAGTTGTATTTCCTTTTTCAAAACCTATATTGACATGCGACGTTGACTTGTCTTATATCTATAAGTTCAGATATATTTGCGTATATGTATGTGTTTGTGTGTGCGTTTGCAGCTGACATTAAACCACAGTCGGAGCCACAACAAGTCACCCATATTTGGAAATTGACTTTGGACCAAACGACAAACGCACGGACATCGGCGCGACCCAACATACTATACAAACAAACGAGCAAACATATATACAAGTAACAGATAAAACTATGGGCGACAATTACAGTAGACACTCGCTAAGTATTTACAACTTTCAATTTGAGTTAAAGAAATGTAAAGAAGCCGTCTTATATGGTGTTCAGCTTTTGCATTCATTAATACAATTAGTAATATATAGTAAAAAATACTTGGACTTATGTATTTTCAATTTAATTGTTTTCTCTGTACTTCTATCAGTTTATTTATTAAGAATTAACAACAACAATTAACTCGCTGGTCACTCACCGAAGCCTACCCCAACCTACCATCTCACATAAATATGAAACTAATTAATACGCCCAATTGATCATTCACTCATTCATAAAAGAATGATCGCCCGATTTTACAATAATTAATCAACTAATCTGTAAACTAGAAAGTCAAAAAGTCAGATATAGGTATGATTGGTATGACAAGTCCGTCTTTCCATCGATTCGTCCGACCACTTCTTCGTTTGTCTGTCTGTATGAACGTTGAGAACTACTAAACCATAATAGCTAGTTACACCAAACTTGGTATGCAGACTTGTCTAATCCATATGCAGATACAGTTTATTACAAACCATAGATACCATCATTATTTTATATAGATGCTATAGTACCGATCGCTTGAAAAATCACTCTTAGTTAAATAACTCCTTTGTTTATTTAAATGTCTTGATCGAAACTAGAATTCATACATTCATCAAACATGTCTGAATGTATCATATAGCGGACATAGGAGTTATCAATGGGAAGGGAATGAACTGAAAAAGAAAATTAAAAAAAAAAAACATGATTTTTAATCAATTACTTGGCATAAGAAAAACTTTGAATATGCTTACTACTCTACACTCAAGAAATGTATGGCAATATTCCTAAATTATAGGCAATGTTGAATTATGTTAACCGTAATTTAGTTGAATTGTCCAAATTTCCTTCTGGGTTTAATACTGAATGCAGAAGTGAAGGGGTTGCTTTAAATTTTTGGCTGAATATGCAAAAATTTCATTTACCACATTTTTAGTTGTTTTGTTTAATTCTTTAAGATTCAACAGACTTGAAAGTGGAGTTAAACAAGAAAAAAATGGTAAGCGTTCTTAGCTAAGATTGGTAATCTTTACAAGCAGTGAAAACAAAATTAAATAAATAAATCCTTAGCATGTGTTTAAAAACGAAACAAAATTTTTAAAATCTTTCATTTCTTCTTTTTAGGCTCTACCTTTCTCTACTTCTTACAAAAGATTTCATGATCATCTCAATGGTATTTCTGCCAAGCGATGCAATCAATTCAAGCTACCAAACTAAGTATATTTCATGACATATTTTAAAACTCATCATTTCATAGTGAAGTAGAGTCATAATTCTATAAAGAAAACATTCCTTTTAACTTAGCTAACTAACCTTTTGTGTTTTCGATGATATACTTATTTGAGAATTGGGCCCATTTTTTTGTGCCACAGCATTACAATTACATTTTTTATTGTTAACAATAATTAAAGGGCTTACTGTGCACATACATACATACGAGTATGCTATATATTGCTATATAGTAATAATTGCTGACGCCTGCAATTGCTTGCCGCCACCTTTAACGGTTTTTTTTTGCTGCCCACAAGCATTGGCCATCGATCGTTTGATAAATAATTATAATTTTATTTCATAAACACAAATTGACACTTCTCGAATTGTTTGTTGCCAAAACGGCAGACCGTTTCACTTGAAAGGCGGCGAAATCGGCGAATCGAACGTATTGAAGTCTACAAATATCGGCGACGATCGCCGACGCCTTGCCAGCATTAGCATCGTGTGGCAATCAATTTGAATTAAGCCGTGAGCGAGCGCTTGTTTTTTTTGCGTTTTTTTTAAATATTTATTTCCCCCTCAATATCAATCTGAAGAAGTTGTGTGAGATTTCGCCCGCGGCACTTTCAATGTCGCCGCCACCAACTGCCAACTGGGGCAGCGCACATATCGTTATATACTATACGATAACTATATAGCCGATATATGAATGTAAGCGGCAGACTGGACGAGAGGCACTTCAGAGAATCGGCCAGGCAGGTAGGCAGCAGTAGCCGCCCCACTTGTTGCCCATAAAAATGCGAATTTGTTGCTCTGTGTGTATCGGCAAAGATCTAAGATCTTAAGTCTAATACCCATGCCCGTACACAATGGGTTGAAAAGCTTCAAATTTTGCATAAAATTCCAAATAAAACTTTAAAGAAATGGATGAAGCATCGCCGTTTCAATATTTTTACTAAGAAATCGAAGCTGACAGAGTTCGCGGGAAATGCTTTTATTATCTGTAAAAACGTTTATTTAATCATAGTGCATAAATGTGATTAATAACAATTAGACAAAATCAAGATCAACTCAAAATTAATTTATGAAATTAGCACTAATTGCTTTTCGATTGCAAACAACAATTTGTTAACTGTTTGGAACATTCAAAAATGTGTGGCAATAAAAGTAAACAATTTTTTTTTTTAATTTAAAATAATAATAATATAATCATAAGCATGCGTAGTAATAAACAATTTTCTATGGAGACAAAAAATTAAAGTCAACGCGCAGAATATATATTTAACAGCGCGCTGTTGTTTGTGTGAATACAAGAATAATAATATTATTGTTATTATTTATTTCATTGAAACTTAGTTTAAAACAAGATTTCTCTTTTACAAATTATTGTAGAGTACATATTAGAAACATTGTTACATACGTGTATGTAATTGTAGCAATACTCTGGGGTTTTTTTTTTCTTTATTTTGAGAACAATTTTTAGAACTGGTGGTCCCATTCCACAGTGCTTTATTAGGGGGCGACCCTAAATCATATGCGTATATAATGCCCGCACGTTTATGATACGATTAAAGCTTTCAAGTAAACCCGATCCATGGCACACACACACACACACATACTCGTACATGTATCTCCCTTTGGAGACTTCGATTAGGGGGCGTATTTTTACTTCGAAATGGGGGTGCGTTTTAATTAATTGTTTATCTAGCGATCAAGACGCAAGATTTGCACAACAACAACGAGAATAATAACAGAACCGATAAATATAAAGTCTTATCTATAGAATTCTCGTAAGCCTATTCCGCGTAATTGATCCAATTTTTTCCTTTTCTATGCCACAACGTGTGTGGATTATGCAAGCAGTTATCTGATAAATCGTAACTAAATGCTCAAATTTTCCAGTTCACTGAGCAGCAGAGCTGATAACGAGTCGATTGAGGAAAATGCGTTTAGAAATTGAAATTAAAACTTACCGCAGGAAAAAACGGAAAACAACAACAACATGAAAATGCCAGCAAACACCTGTTGCTTACAGAGTTGTTGTTGTTGTTGTTGCTGCTGCTGCTGCTGCGTACGTTGTTCCAATTTGTGAATGAGGGGATTTATTGCTTTTCATCGATAGCACTTTGTTGTGGTTTTGTCAAAGTTGTTGTTGTTGTTGCATTTACTGTTGATTTTTCAGTTGTGGCGTGGTTGTTGCTGTTGTTGTTGTTTTAATTAGACGCTCAACGCATTAGCAGCGACACAACACACACACATATATATATATATAAATATACAAACTCGCGCGCGCACTAGCACACATACACACGCACGCGTGTTGCCAATTGCCTGAAGCGCCCACGCAACGTGCCAAAAGAAAACGCGTTTATTGAAAAAAAATAGTGTATATTTGTGTACGTATGTAGTATATGCAACAGGCTGAGGCGCAAGAACTCGAACAACCTACAACGAACTATTGTGGCAAAGAAAAGCGATATGAATGGAAATGAAAAACGCAACCGCAATGCGCCACCAAATTGGCGCACTTTTAAATCCTGCACGGCGACAACGACAAACACACACACAACCGATCCGTTCCAGCGATCGCAACTAACTGAGACGACGACGTCGGCGCAACGACACCAACAGCTGAGCTTGCGCGCTAACTGTGAGTGCGTGTGGGTGAGAGAGCGTCAATCGCAACTGTCATTCGTTGTCATGCAAGTAACGTATTTCAGCGACGATCGCGCCGAGTGCAAAATGGAACCAGTTCCAACTTCGTTGTGTAGTGTTTACATAAAAATAATGAGATAAATTTGTAAGTTGTGTACATTTCTGTTGCACGAAAACAAAGCGATTATATTAAATACAAGCGCTTGTATTATTATTGACATATGTAGAATTATGTTGTTGAAGGAGAGAAATATAACTATTCTATTACACTGTCGATTCATACATCTGCTTTATTTTATCGGTACGCTGCTTGCAGGCAGCGCACGTGCATCTCACAGGCTTGCATTATTATTTAAGAGAGCGACTCAAAGATCTGCTCTCGCTAGTTTACAGTTAGCTTTTTAAGTGAACTGGGTGTGAGAGAGATAAGCCTTTTCTATTGAAATAGTGGCCACGAGCTCGCAGTAATACTAAACAATTGCAAGTGTCGTATAATAGGAAAAACAGGAAGTAATTTTGGAAACTGGGGCTTTCCGTAATAATTTCGAGCCACCAATGATTTGAACAAAGCAAAGCGTTTGGAAGAAATAAAAACTCTTGATTAATCCTTTTCGAGCTTGGAATTTTCAGATAACATCCCTAATAAATAATTTAAGATATGAAAAAATTACAACTTTTAATGAATTTATATGTATGTATGTATATGCAAAATTCTACCTTTAAAAATGTAAGCCATTCAACATTTTATGATAATGTTTATGCATAATTTGCAATAAATACTTCTAGCAAGGCTGGCTAACAATCTCTTTTTTGATACTTAGGCATGGCCAACTAATTTGTGTTTCCCCTTCACAATAGAAATAGCCATTTAAAAAAAATATTAATAGAAAATATTTCCCTCGATTCACCGTTATTTGTATCCAAATTCAAAGTGCATTTATAAATGTAACGGAACAGCTCTGATAACCGCCAAAGCCAAGTAAATAGGGCAACACTGACGCGAACATATGCTTCTGACACCCTAACCAGCTGATACCTCTTTCTGCTGCCATCTGTGGGGGCAACGCGAGTATCGTGTGTAAAAATAATTGTTAATTTGTAAATTAAAACGACGCCCGACATGTTGGCTCGACGAATGCAACTATGGCGATCAGCTAATGCGGCCGCAACGCTGACAGCGACGACGCACCGACCAACCAAACAGGTAAGCTGGAGAGACCCGACCCGGCCCCTATGACATAACCTGCAACAAAAACAAAGCGCGGTTTGTTATGAATCTGAGCGATCACTAATCCCACACTATATATGCAGAGCTTGGCCACCTCCAGGACAAATCGACATATGCATGTGGCTACTGGCGCCTGGAACTGGAACAATCAAGTACAATTACAGAGAAGTACGCCTCTATTGCGGGCCTCCTACACAGTGCTCCCCCTAAATGCCGCAACTGTGCGCTTCGCCAGCACCGATGACGGCGCCGATGGGGAATTAAATGCAGAGGTGCCCGAGTCATTGCCCACCAAGGAGCTGGTCGACTTACCCAACATACCGGACGCGCCAACACCGCCGCCCTTCGTTGACCCGCTCTCATCCCAGGTGGAGGTTGTGGAGAATTTAAATGCGGCCGGTGAGGCAACGTTTGCATCGATCGGACTGGGCGGCTGGACGCCCGTTGGTCTTGTACAGAACTGCATGGAGTTCCTGCACTGCACCTGGGAGTTGCCCTGGTGGGGAGCCATTGCCATTGGTACGCTCGTTGTCCGCACTATTATCTTTCCACTGGTAATAGTGGCGCAACGCAACTCGGCGAAGATGAACAACAACATGCCGCAGATGCAGTTGTTGCAACTGAAGATGACCGAAGCGAGGCAGTCGGGCAATGCTTTAGAGTCGGCGCGCTATGCTCAGGAAATGATGCTGTTCATGCGCGAGAAGGGCGTCAATCCGCTCAAGAATATGGTTGTACCTTTGGCCCAAGCGCCGCTCTTCATATCCTTCTTCATGGGTCTGCGCCAGATGGCCAATACGCCGGTGGCATCGATGCGAGAGGGTGGCCTGTGGTGGTTTACAGATCTCACTGTGGCCGATCCGCTCTTCCTGCTGCCGCTGATAACCAGTGCAACCCTGTACCTGACCATCGAGATTGGCACGGACAGCGCCCGGTTGTCGGCGGCCAACATGCAGACCATGAAGTATGTGCTCCGCGCGCTGCCCATCGTCATCTTTCCCTTCACCATGAACTTCCCCGCCGCTATATTGACCTACTGGGCCTGCAGTAATTTCATCTCCCTGGGCCAGGTAGCGGTGCTACGCATTCCGACCGTTAGGGACTACTTTAAGATCGAAAAGATGCTCGTCCACCAGCCCAGCGCACTGCCAGCCAAGAAGAAGGGCTTTGTGGGCGGCATGAAGGAATGTAAGTTGACCTGAAGATTGTATCGAGAGCATATTTCTATATCTGTGCCTGCTTTGCAGCTTGGGACAACATGAAGATCACCAAGGAGATCGAGGAGCGTCAGCGTCTGGACGAGATTCGCTTTGCGAAGGCTGGCAAAGGGCCGTTGGTAAAAACCTTCAAGCACGATCCCACAAAGCCGCAGGTGACGGCCAGTTTAAAGGATCAGAATCAGGACCAGTCGAAAAAGTAGCCCCGTAGCCAATGATGGGCCCAGGGACTTCAGAGTGTGCCAGCGCTGTGTTTTGTTACCATTTATCTAGACTTAAGTTTTCTCCTCCACCCCACACAAAAGATGTCTCTGCCGACTTTTTTTTAACGATAAAGGATAATTTGTATTGACTAGAGTCCTACACGGATATGCACTGATTAATGACCTCAGCAAGATGTTTGTTTTCCAAGGCGGCCGCGACGCGTTCCTTGTCCGCCAACTGCTTATTGACCGCCAGTTCTGAGGCATGCGTGCCCGGCGTTATCTCCACAGTGACCTTGAAACGGGACGGCAGCGAACGCAGCAGCTTCACCCGTATGGAAAGACCAATAAGCGTGGCCATCGAGCAGTGTGGGATCGTGGGTGTGAAATTGATGTGCACATCATTCTCTTTATCGTTGATATTGATGAGCTCCTCCTGCACCACGTGCAGCTCCTCCAGAGTCAACGGATGTTCCGGATCGTTGATAGTGCGTATGAGATCTGTGCGGAACAGAATTCTTTTAATTTTCCACTCGAATTTGTTAGAATTCTATGACACCTACCAAAGATTTCGCGCTTATCGAATGGGTCGGCCACACTTTCGTCCTCATCGTGCGCCGTTACTTCGCGTTCCTTGATTTTTCCGTATACATTGGGATTTATATTCTCGATTTCTGTAGGCATTTTGTTGCAAAATCGAAGTCTCAATGCTTTATTTTGTAGTTTTATTGCTAAATCCTCACAGTTGTTTATTTATGGCACGTTAAGTGTGACCACATTGCTTGCAGTTTCACATATTGCGTCGTGGTCTGTTAAGGGACTGTTACAGTTTAACAGCTAATGTAACAGCACTAGTTGCACATTTAAAACCATTTATTTTGCCACTTTCTCAGTTGCCCAGTTAATAAATTATTAACTTGATTTGATTGATTTTTATTCATGTGACATTTTCAATTTGATTCATATTTTTGAGATCTTTACGAAGTGCAGTCTGTTGGGCAACTGTTAACATGAGATTTGTCAGCCCTGGCAGCTGGCGCAATAGCGCGACTCTGTTACACATTTTGAAAAGATAATTAATTTTGTGCCTTCCTCAATAACAAGCAATTTGCATAAATTAATTACCACAATTGCAGTACGATTACATTAAAATTTCTAATTCAAGCTATTAGCTCAGAATTGATGGACAAATTAGTTAAGTTATGCTAATACTATCTTACATAAAGCCTGTAATTGGACGCTTTCGATTTGATTTATATTTATGTGCATTTTAATTAGCTACAATCTTATTTGCACTAACTCCTAGCGCGGTTTTTCACAACGCAATGCTAAGTGGGTGACTAAAGTAAGCCCCAACCCCAGCTAATAGAATCCATGACTAAGCCTTGAGCCAATTTTAAAAAAGTCTATCTCTAGCGCTTGCAAAATTTGATGCCTTGCGCCCATATCTACAGTTTATAATTAACCCGAGTTATCATTCGAAAACAACAATATGGTAAATAAATATAAATAAAACCAGCTTTGCGCACGTAGCCGGCTATTTTTCACGGTTGTGTTGTACAGCACACATATTGTCCGTCAATTAGCACCAAATTGCGAACTGGTTAACAATTACAACAAACATTCAGTCGAGAAACCGCTATCTCAGCCCTATTCGACGCCCATAAAACGCGTCCGCAAAGATGCTTCGGTTAACAGTTTCGGGCAATTTTCCAATCGTACGAGTCGACAATGAGACAATTTGTAAGCTTCCCGGCCGGCTCTCGGCGCCACTCAGTTTCCACTTATATTTGATTTATCTTTGCAGTTGATTTTGGCTGCCTTGGCTGCCCTTTGCGCCGCAGCCCCCGCTGACAACAGGGAGGTGACTGAAGGAGGCGGTTTCACGCGTCCCAGTCCCATTAATCCCGACATAATTAGCGATCCGAAGCCGAAAGAAAAGATCGTTGTATTGGATGACAGCAAACTGAACCGTCAGAAACGGGACGAACATGCGCCAGCAAAGGCCGATAGTGGCCATCATGCGCTCTCTCACGATGTGGAGAAGCCAGTTGGCGCACATACGCAGGAGGCAGTGCATCACGATGCCAAGCAGACCCACAAACGTGAGACACCCGTGAAGCCAGCGAGCGGGCATGAGGGTCATGAGGCTCAATCCCACGATCTTGCGAAGAAGCCAGTTGGCGCTCATACCCAGGAGGGAGTGCATCATGATGCCAAGCAGACCCACAAACGTGAGACACCCGTGAAGCCAGCTGGCGTTCAGGCTCACGACGCTCACTCCAACGCTCATGTGGAGAAGCCAGCCGGCGTTAAAGCCCAGGAACAATTGCATCATGATCCCAAAAAGGTAGCTGCCGCTCCCACCTCAGACCATCAGCATCATCATCGTCGCCGGCGCGACATTCCGGTGCCCACCGTCATAAAAAGCACACCCAAACCGAAGGAGGAGGAGGTGAAGCCCCATGTGGAGGATTTAGGTACCACCACCTCGACCGGACACCCGGCGACTCGTGATCATCCTGTGCCCGTTGCCGAGCTCTTCAACAAATCCAAGGCAAAGGACAGCTCTGAGAAATTCGATGAGCACAAAGCTTAAGCGATTATGTAAGACGTTTCCGCTCACTAATTGAAAAGTCACGCAATCGAAAATGAAAACTAAAGGCGAAGCAATTCGTTGAAAAAAAATATACACAAAAAAATAAAAACAAACAATAATATTTACAGAAAAAAGCTGCGGTTTACAAAAAGTGATTTTTGTTAGCTACTCACTAAAAAATATTTGCTTACTGAAAAATTAGCGCTCGCTACGATGACGTCTCGAAGTTGTCTTTGGCGGGCCCAAAGTAATTGTCGCTCTTGAAGATCGGAACCGGTTGGAAATCGCCTTCAGCGCTCAGATTACTCTTAGGTGTCTGATCTGAGGCGTCGGTGGGACTTAGTTTGGCCTTCAGGGGCTTCAGCAGCAGACCCCTTAGACTATAATCCGTGACACTTAGCTCCTGTTCAGCCACATCCACTGAACGTTCCACCTCATTCAGATTGGCGTTGACCACGCCCACAAATTCCTCCAAATTGTCAATTCGGGTGCGCAGCTCTGCGAAATCGTCACTAAAACTAATTATGTTGCTAACGTGATTCCCCATAATGCCATTGGACTCGGCGCGCACCTGTGAACCAATTGGAGGAGTACTTTACAATTATTATTCCAATGTCTTTATAAGGAAGGCCTACGCACATTGGCCAGCAGCGTTTCGAATTCCTCCAAACGCGACATCAACATGTCATCTATATGGTCGATAAGCGGATTTATCTGCAATAAAAGATTCTTTTTATAAAGTTCCAGCTGCTAGCTGTCTGTGGCACGCACCTCTTTGGATAAATCTGCGCTCTTTAATATCTGCGCGTAGTCCTGCGCCGCACTTTTGTCCGCCATTCCTGTCCAGCTAACTGCTCTATTTGTTGTGAAGTTTCTTGGGTTCGAATTTCAGCGACTTTTTGGGCGTTCTTCTTTAACAATTGACTGCCCAGCCACTTTCTAATTATGTTAATTTCTTGATCTTAAATATGACTATTAATTTCCATTTAAAAACTCAATGCTGCGATGCTCTTTCCTCCGTCATTCTTGTCCAGGAAACTGATATTTTTTGTAGAAATATTTCACCATGATAATAAATAATACAAGTTTAATCGTGTATCAATTATCAAGGCAGTTTATTATTGCATTATTTTTCTATCATCTCATCAAAAAGAATTCAATCCGCCATTGCTGTCAAGCAAACTGATCTATTTTCTTTAATTAACATAACATAACATATAAAATGTAAAAACATTTTACAGTTCTCTTTTACGTTGTGTTTTCAATTTTGATTATTAGCATTTATTTTATTTCTTCTTACAAAAAATATCAATTAAGTCGAACTTAGTATTTCAACAAAAACAATCAACAGAGTTTCTCCCAAAATGAACAGCTGATGGCCTTCAATAAGCCAGTGTTGAGCAGCGGCAATAACCGCGTTAATGTATCGTCGATGATTTGCTGTTTAAATTATGCACGAATTTTCTCGTATTTGCAGCAATAACGTTGAAGCATTAGTATTTTAAACTATTTATGCAATTCATTTATTGCATCACGTATGAGCAAATATAATACTGCAGGCCATATTGTCTTCTGAGCCTTGTGAACCGGTGCAAGAGTATCGTTGTTATCTTGCCCTTGGTTTTGGCACTTCCACGCACAGATGCGCTTACTTGCGCATTTTCGTAGAGATTTTTCCGGGCAGCGCGTATTATTGATTTGTGTGTTTTGCTTAGCAGAAAATGTCCAATTACCGTGGTATTGGCGGCGGGGGCTTGCCCTATAAAGTGAATCCGCACAAATCCGGCAGTGGCATTAATATGAATGCAGTGCCGCCGCCCGCCGTGCTCAACAACCAGAGAGGTGGTTACCAGCGCGGTGGCGGCTCTGGAGGTGGCGCTAGCAGTGGCGTCTCAAAACACGGCTACTCGACATTGGAGTCAATTAGTCAGTACACGAATTCCAGTAATATTCTTGGCAAACGCAAGCAGCACACGGAAGACAGCTATTTCGACGATGACGACGATGCGCCGCAGCCTCCACAGGCGCCACAGCAGGCGTATATACCAGCACCGGGGTCGCCGGGAGCGGTGGACAGCAAGCCAGACACAGATTCGGATGAGGATCCGCTGGAGCAGTTCATGGCGGGCATCAAACAGCAGGTGGAAAAGGAGAAGGTGCGCTCCACACAGCCAAAGGCCAGCACTGTGCCACAGGAGAAGGGCGTGCGTGGAGACATCGATGACGAGGACGACGAGGAGAGCTACTATCGCTATATGGAGGAGAATCCGAATGCGGGACTGCGCGATGAGGGCTCCGATCAGGAAATCGAATACGACGAGGACGGCAATCCGATTGCGCCACCCAAAAAGAAGGACATCGATCCATTGCCTCCCATTTATCACTCCGAGATTGAATATGAGCCCTTCGAGCGCAATTTCTACACACCCCATGAGGACATTGCGCAGCTTAGCGAGGAGCAGGTGCGGGATTTGCGTCACACGCTCGGCGTAAAGGTGACGGGTGCTTTGCCCCCCAAGCCCGTCAGTTCGTTCGCCCACTTCGGCTTCGATGAGCCCCTAATGAAGGCAATTCGTCGTGCGGAATACTCACAGCCCACTCCGATACAGGCACAGGCTATACCCACTGCCTTGTCGGGTCGCGACATCATCGGCATTGCAAAGACTGGTTCGGGAAAGACGGCGGCTTTTGTGTGGCCACTACTGGTGCATCTGATGGATCAGCGAGAGCTGCGTCCGGGCGATGGACCCATTGCTCTGATCCTGGCACCGACACGCGAACTCTCGCTGCAAATCTACAATGAGGCCAAGAAATTTGGGAAGGTCTATAACATCAATGTTGTTTGCTGCTATGGCGGCGGCTCCAAGTGGGAGCAGAGCAAGGCTTTGGAGCAGGGCGCCGAAATCGTAGTCGCGACACCCGGTCGCATGATCGACATGGTCAAAATGAAGGCAACGAATCTGCGTCGCGTCACTTTCCTGGTGCTCGACGAGGCCGATCGCATGTTCCACATGGGCTTTGAGCCGCAGGTGCGCTCCATTTGTAATCACGTGCGCCCAGATCGGCAAACCCTGCTCTTCTCGGCCACCTTCAAGAAGCGCATTGAGCGACTGGCCCGCGACGTACTCACCGATCCTGTGCGCATTGTCCAGGGCGATCTGAACGAGGCCAATCAGGACATTACCCAGCACGTATTTGTCTTTCCCAATCCCCTGCAGAAGTGGAATTGGCTGCTCTGTCATCTCGTCAAATTCCTTTCTGAAGGAAGTGTTCTGATCTTCGTTACCAAGAAGGCCGATGCCGAAACTGTGGCCAACAATTTGCTACTCAAGGAGCACAACTGCCTGCTCCTGCACGGAGATATGGATCAGGCGGATCGTAACAAAGTCATCACACAGTTCAAGCGCAAGGAGTGCGACATTTTGGTCGCCACTGATGTCGCTGCACGCGGCCTCGACATCCCCCACATACGTAACGTCGTTAATTACGATATAGCCCGAGATATCGACACCCATACCCATCGGATAGGACGCACGGGTCGTGCCGGCGAGAAGGGCAATGCCTATACATTGGTTACCGATAAGGACAAGGAGTTTGTCGGCCATTTGGTGCGTAATCTGGAGGGTGCCGATCAGGAAGTGCCCGGCGATCTCATGGACCTGGCCCTGAAAAGCTCCTGGTTCCGCAGTTCGCGCTTCAAGCAGGGAAAGAGCAAGAAGCCGGCCAACAACTTCATGGGCCTGGGCTATCGTGAGCGTGGCGGAAGTGGCGGCGGCAGCCACTCCTCCTCTTCCAGTGGCGGCAGTGGCGCTGTCGCAAAGGCGGCCTTCGAAGCCAGCACAGCGGCCGCTAATGCCGGCCCAGCCACAGATCGTTATGCAGCCATGCGGGAAGCCTTTCGTTCACAGTACACTTCCCAGTTTCGTGCCTCCAGTGATCGCACCTGGGAACAAACCGTGCCCCAGTCTGGTGTTTTTGCAGCCCCGCCACCACCTCCACCACCAGCGAGCTCCACTGCCCCAACCGCCGCTTCAGTTTCAGCTTCGAATGCCGCAGCGGATGCCAAGCGGGCCAAGAAGAGTCGTTGGAATTAACCCAGAAATGTAGAGAACTCTAATCATAATCACCATCAGCCCTAACCTGATCGGATCATTATCCCTCCTCATCGGTTACTTTTCATATAATTTAATGTGTATTTGCTTTTGTTTTATCATCATTAAAATTACAACTTATGCGCTATCTTTAAACTTAAATATATATTCATTATATATATATATTATGTTAAATTAAAGTAAACACTCGTATGTACACTCGTCTCTTGCTTTTTCATCTTCTTCTGCTAATTCGCCCACGACCGATTTTAATAAAAATTTCATTAACTGTAATTGTTTATGTGTATTTTATTTTGAATAAAATCACATTTGCGCATATTTCATGGCGTTTCTAGAATTCCATTTCCTTGTCATATTATACTCTTGCAAACACTTAAGGACATCATCGATTCATTTGAATTTAACACGTCAGATGGAAAAAGGAAATCAAATTTATTAGCCGCGTCCAAGTTCTACGTGTCATTGTGGTGTAAACTCAGAAAGAAAGTCTTTTTTCAAATTCTATATAACAACACTTCAGGTTAGATACAAGTTAAAAAGAGTCTGATTTGATTATAGGCGTCAGATTTAAGCCTATCCGACTTTTTTTTAATGTCAGAACAGTCAGAATATCACTCAAAATTAAAAGCTTTACGCGTCAGATGGTGAAAAGTGTCCTTTTTGTGGTTTAACACTTTATTTTCATGAACAATTTAGTCGTCAAATGTAAAAAAATGTGTGATTTCTTTACTAATATACCAGAGTTACAAACGTCAGACTGTTTAACGACTCCTGAATCAAACGCATCACATGAGAAATTAAAGAAATGAAGTAAGCTTGAAACAGTTAACAAATCAGATTCCATGCGTCAGATTTTTGCAACCAAATGCGAGCTTCGTTCGTAATGAGTGTTTGTTTTCGAGACTTTTGAACACGTACGAGCATGTCGTGCTTGTTTCTAGACATATTATTCATCACATTTGAAAGTTATATATATATCTCATCAAGTTGTTTGGCCAAATCCCTGACTATGGGAAGGAGCTCTATATTAATGAATACTGTGAGTATATTCGGAACTTAAATATAGCCAATAAGACTATATCTTAAAACAATTTGCCATATACTTTTTGCAAGCGTATAGAAACATCGGTAAGCCGAAGTTATAAACTACTCTCGTTTTGTTATTTTCATTAAATTTTCAATGCTTTTTTGCTTTGTTATTTGTTTGAAGCGAGAAAATTGTTGAAGCTACCGTAAATTTATGTTGTTTAGGTTCTTGAAATATTGTTTTACAATGAAACCACTACGAGTTTTTGCCTTTGAATAAGAGTACGATTAGCGTATATAATAATTTAGCATATGGCTTACAATTTTCGATATAACATTGAGAAAAGTTGAGATTCATTTAACTACCACATTGACGCGATTTTTGTAATTATTACTTGTTGTTTTGTTTTTGTTTGGTAATTTATTATTTTAATTTGCATAAATTGTTTAAGCTTTGATTACGTAACGCCGAAAAGCATTTTAGTTTAATTTCGCTTAAAAATTTTGCTACGTTTTAGTTTTAGATATACTCGTATGTACGTCTATATATTTTTCGGGTATTCCTATTATTTTGTTTTTTAAATACTTTCGTTTCTTTTGTTCTAAACACGCTCAACAATTTTGCGTTTCTCGTTCGGTGTGTGTGTATAAAAATTGGTCCATGTTAACCACATCGTACGAAAAGAAAGCGATAACTCAAGAAGTAAAATATATTGAAACGAAGAATCGACTAGATATTCGTATGCTAGGCAAAAAAAAAAAAAAAAAAAAAGAGGAGGAAATGAGGAAAACAAAATGGTTGTTTTTAAAATACTTTTTTCTTTTTATTATTTATATGTATGTATTAATTTTGTGTTTGTGTGTGTGTGTTTGTCGCTGTATATAAACTTTCTTTGCTTTTGCTTGCTCCACATACTATATATAGTATGTGTATGTATGCATATATATAGATACTTGTATATAGATATATATGTATATACAATATTATGATTTTTTCAAAAATTCACATAACTTAGTTCGTAAAATTGTTGTTGTTTTTGTTGTTGTTTTTAAATTAGCATTAAATTTGATTTAAATTTGTAATAGTTTGTTTTGCCGTTTTGCGCTCTATTTAAATACATATATATATATTTATTTATATATATATTTATTAATATGTATGTATTTATATATTTGCCTTAATGTTTAATATACTTTCGTTTAAATATGTGTTTATTACAAATTAATAATTAATATTTCCGCTCACGTTTGGCGCTAATTTAGGTTAATTTTATGTTTAGATAAGATTTACAAAATAATTAAAAATATGCAACAATTAAAATGTAAATGTTTTCATTTTATAAATGTAATAAAATTGTTGGGATTTTGTTTACTTTTCTCATATTTCTGTTGATGTCTCTTAGTTGTTTGTAAATGTTGTTGAAATTTTCATTATTTTGTATACTTTATACAATAAAATTATATTTAAAAAATAAACAAGAAAACATTTCACAAGAAATTCAAAGTAATCTTTTTCAAAGAACGCTTTCAAAAATAATTGCTTTTTTAACATAAAAAAGGCGTTGGTAACTGAATTAAAATTAAACACAATTAAGAGTTTTCCTTGTTGTTGTTTTTTTTTGTTGCTCTTGTTGGGGCCCTATCGAAAATTACACTTTTAAATTCGTAAATTTCATTTGAAGGAATTTCTATGCCTGTTCGTTCTTCAATTGAACGTTATTCAGATTTCAGTATTTTAATATATTGTATAATGACTGATTTGTTGTTGTTGTTGCTGCTGCGGATATATTTTTACTCCTTTTTAAATTAAATGCCAATTAATTTAATTAATTAATTTTTAAATCACATTTCATTGTTTTTTCAACACGGCAAATTTTGCTCTTTCAATTTTGTGTGTGTTAGGTGTGTGTTGTGTGTGGGTGAGGAAACAAAAATTGAAGTACTTGCTGTAGTGTACATTTTAAAAGTAATAATACTATTTACAAAAGTGTTTTGTTTTTGTTTTTTTTTTTTTCAATCCATTTAATTTTTGTTTTCGTTTTCTTTTTAAGGAAATTGTAGATGCTCACTACTAGTTCAAGAAACAGCTGTGCGCCGCCCACGCAACATTTCTTAACACTGCACACCACTTAGCGTTGCCAACTGCTGCATTTTTGCATGCCTACTTGATTGCGGTTTTCGTTCGCCATTTTACATTTACATACATCCTCATATGCAATTATTATTTTGCTGAACAATTGTGCGCATTTAGTCGAAAAGTGTGGCGAGCAAGTCGTCGCTAGCATTGTTGTTGCTGGAGCCGCTCGAGGGTGGCGTATTCAGATCTGGCTGCGGATCCAGATACGACAGAATCTCCATGGGATCGACATCCTGCAGCAGCTGCATTGTAGGTATTATTATTATTAATATTGATTGCAATAATTTATTATTTGTGTGCTGTAACTTACGTTCAGATCGTGCGCCGTGTCATTGATGCTGGTAGCATCGAAATTTTGCAGCTCGGCGCTAATATCGCTTTCCGGAAACTTCAGTTGCGTCTGACTGTTCATCAGCGAGTTGAGGAGCTGTTCTTGTTGCGATTGTTGCGACTGCTGTGCCTGACTGTCGTTGGCGTTGGATAAGCCACCACCACCCAAACGACTCGGTGTTCCCGGCGTTTGGGGCGAGTTGTGGCCGGTGCTGCTGCTGTTGTTGTTATTGTTGCTGGCATTGGGTGTTCCGCCGGCGATGGGTTCATTGTGCGCTGAACTCACACTGGGCGGTCCACCGGGCGTCATCGGATGGCTGACTGCGCCTGGAGTGTGCGGCGTGTGGGGCATCTGCATAGGAAACACCAAATTGTAGTCGAAAGTCCTTTTGCCGGAGTTTCAAAGTTTTAACTCACCTGATCGCTGAGCGACTTTTCCATGGCATTTAACTGATCCAGCGAGTTGACGCCATCGCTATTGGGCATGCCACCCTCATTGTGATTGCCGCCACTGAAGCCATCATAGCTATTGCGATTGCCACTATAGAGGAAATAAAAGAGGACGAGCAGTTAGATATTTTGGCCACATTTTTTTGCACTCAATAGTTTACTTACACTTGCGTGCCTGGTAAGACGCCATTGCCGACGGGATTGCCAGCGTTGGGGACAGCACCGTTGCCCATCATATTGCCACTGGCAATGGAATTCATGTCGTGCATAGTATACGGACTCATCGCCTGCGAGTTGTCCCATGTGGGTAGTTGTGTGGAGCCCGGCGACATCACTTTGGCAATGTCGTCGCACAGCTCCTGCTTGATGCTGGGCATGACGTTGTTGCTGTTAATGCTGGTATTGCTGCCGTTGTTGTTGCCATTGCTGTTGCCTGGATTCGATTGTCCGCCATTGCTGCCCACCTGGGGCGGATTTGGCATGCCACCGTTGTGCTGTAACGCGCGCCAATTGGCTGAAGAATCGATGATTACCTCGTCCACATCGGAGTTGCTGAGCGTGTTGAGGATGGCCCAGATATATTGGTCGATCTCCAGCGTGTCGGTAATGGCGGATTTGCTGCATTCGGGACAGCGCCAGGAGCCGCGCTCGCTGTTGATCATCAGATAAGCCTCCAGATCGAAGCATTGGACATGCTTACACTCGTGACCGCGTGCCGGCAGACGTATTCGAGATTTGGTGATGGGACACTTTAATGAGATCTTTGCGCACTGCTGCGTGGGGTCTGTGCTGCCACCATTGGCAGCTCCGTTCGGCACATCACCGCCACTTGGCAAACTCAAATTTCGCTTTATCTTCTGCACACTGTGCTCCAATGGCAGCAGATTGCGTTTGTGCAACGACTGCAGCACCTGACGCACCGATGGCCGATGGACTAGTTGCAGCACAAATAGATGGGACTGCAGAGACAAGGAAATGGACTGTGAGTACAGATGGTGGGGAGGAAATGGAGCCAACTTTGTACTTACACAACAACAGGAACTGGCGGTCAGCTGGAGCGTGTTGCGTCCAGGCTGGCAGACCGACTTCAAATAGAGCGGTCGCAGGGCGGTGCTGTTCTTCTCGGAGCGCTCAATGTTGAGCGGCGTGGCATTTGCGGAGACGGTGACGGTGTGCGGCCAATTTGTGTTCATCTGCCGATCGTCTTGGTGGAAGCATTTCAGCTGCAGCTCGAGGTCGGTGCTAAAAAAGTCCAGAAAAATATATCAAACACATTATAGAAAGGATCACCAACAAAAAATATAGAAGCGATCCTTCAAGGTATCTTCCTATATCCCTAAAATATCTTCCCAGTATATGTGATAGATAATGTGGTAAACTTTTCGTAGAAAAGCTCCCCAGCTTGGATTCTCACAATCTAGAATCCTAAGCGGCTGCAATTAGGAATACGTATTTGTATGGACGTATGGCTTTATATTTGGATCTAAGAGCCATGTGGCCCTATATCGCAAATAATTCTTCGTTAAAAAGTTTTAACTCTTACGACTGTGGAAGAAAAATCGAGAAGACTGAAGTGTTGCCCCCTATCCTTATTGCGTTAAGGAATCGGCTATTCCTTTTTGAAAACGATAAAAGGTTACAAGCTTGTTATGATTGCTCCTTAGAGATCTTTGGGATTCGTATCCATTGCTCCATTGCATTCTAACCGCATGGATTAGATCTAAGAAGAATCTACTACTTGGAAAATACTTGGAAAAATGAGGATCTTGGGTGCATCGCTTGAATTGAAGCATCTGGATTCTGTACTTACCGACACATGAGAGTGTTGTAGACATTCTGCTTCAAGTGGAACACATGATTACTGACAGAGAGATTGTGCAACAGGCGGAAGGGCGGCAGGATGATGCCATCGCGCACTGGGAATGTCAGTCTCATTTCTTCGCCTACAAAAGATAAGAGCAGAGAGATCCAATTAGCATGGAAATATGGCTGAAAAGTGGCTCCGAACTCACTGTTGTCCATAGGCGGCTTGATGTCTGGATTGGGGCTGACGTAGGGAACGCTGCACGCGGGTGTTAGTGGTGGCGTCGGATTACCAGGAACTGGACTGTGCTGATAGTTTTGCTGGAAACTAAAAAGAGAGCATTCAAATTAATTTTGGATTCGATTGTAAGCATTTTACTTTATTGGCAATACTTACCCTTGATTCTGGTACGGATTGCCAGTGCTTGGCACACCGCCCGGACCAGCCGGACACATGCTGCCTTGACCACCGCCCACGCCCATGCCAGCAACGCCGCCCATACCACCGTTGCCGCCAGGATAGAACTGCGCTCCGTGCGCATTCGGACCACTTCCGTAGCCGGCGGCACCAGCGGCTCCCGCCTGCGGCATGAAACGCTGACTCATGCAGCCGGGTCCCATGCCCGGACCAGCGCCCATGGGACCCATTGGAACACCGGGACCCATAACAGGTCCAGCACCCATTACGCCCGGTCCCATACCGGCACCACCATTGCGTCCGTAGCCAGCGGCGCCCATGGGTCCGGCCCGTCCATAGCCATTGCCTGCGCCCGCCTGCATTGGCAGCGGCACGCCACCGCCTGCGCCCGGATGCATCTGCTGGCCACCATAGGGCTGTCCACCGTGTGGTACTTGCTGCTGCTGTGGCATACTCTGCGCCGGGCTCGGGTACATGCCGACAGCGCCACCACCGCCGCCTCCACCGGCACGCTTCTGTGCCAAATGCATCTGTGGATGCGGGTAGGGCGCCATGCGACGCTGCTGTTGCTGCTGCTGCGGATAGCCCCCATTGGCCATGCCTTGCATCTTGGCCATTGGATTCATGCCGCCAGCACCGCCGCCCATCTGCTGTTGGGCCATCCCGCCCATGGGCATGCCGTTGCCGGGACATGGTCCGCCCATGGACATGTTTTGCATTTGGTTCATTGGCGTCATCTGAAAAAAGGAAGAGAAAATGCATAAGTTTTGGGTAAGTCATTGATTCCCCTACAACACTTCTAACAATTCTATCGATATTGGGGTTATATTTATTTTAAATATCCACTATCCCTGATAATCATTGAAAAATCCATCCAAAAAGCCATAGAGTGTGCTGTTACTCAATTATAGGTATTAATGGTATTTGTCGATATTTATCGGCAAATATTATGTCGGTGTTGGGGCTGTATGAGTTTTCAAAATCGTATTCCATTGATCGAACGATCGGAACGATTGGGCTAAGCTAAAGGTGACCCTTTTTTCCATTTCTGATAATATTGCAACCAGTTTTTGCCAGATTGCTGACTAAAAAGTGTTTCCCCCTACGAATTATCCATTTTGCCGCTTTCTCAATTCTCGTTCATTACAGTTTAGTTTTTGATTTTTTAGTTTTTCAAACTAATTGCTTGACACTTTGCCATTGTCGCGGTCGCGTCTACGGCATCTGTTGTTGTTGCTGGCGTTCTCTTTCTCGCTGTACGGCAACTGCAATTAGCCGAAGCCACGTGTAATGTCAACCGAACGCCACCTGCCACCCACCGCCCACCTCTGTCCCTCTGCTCTGTGCATGCCTCTCATGCACTTTGCACATGCAAACAATTGAATTTGTTATTGAAAAAGCATTCGAAGCTTGAGCTCTGAAACAAAAAGTTAAATAAAACCGCAACTAAGCTGTCGTCGGACGGAGGGACGAAGAGACAGACGGTTAGACATGAGATCCACACATGAAGGGAGGGCGCAGCACTCGCATCTCTCAGGCAGGGGCATCATTCACAACATCCACGCCACTATTTTTTTTAAATGTTTCAATCGTATTTACAAAATTCTGTTCCCCCAGTGGGGTTTAATTGGGTTTGTTGGGAATGATTTTTTGGTGGCCAGCAATTTGTCAGTTGTTTTGTTGCGCTGAGCTGTTAATGCGATCGCATTAAAAATCTGTTTATGACTTTAAATTGTTTTCAGCAAACAGCTGCGCCTTTTATTTTAAATTTATTTTGTATTAGTCGAAAATGTTTACAGAGCGACTTTGTCATCCAAACAGCAGCATGAGTCAAATGTGTTAAAATACTATACGCTGTTGCGAGGGTTTAGACCCGATTCTAAAAGAGCAATATTTGTCTTTGCCAACGAATATCAGTGAATTGTGACTTTTGTAAAACATTCTCGAGGATAACTGATCATAACTTGTGGAGACCCCGCATCGATTTTCTACTAAATGAAGAAGAAGAAGAATTAACTAGCGCACTACTTCATTAAAAAGGAATGCTATGAACGCTTTTGTATAACCGAACCAATGAGAGTCTAAGTCCAGAGTAACTTTTGTATAACATTTTTGAGGATAACTGAACATAACTTGTGGTGACCCCGAGTCCAACCAATGGGTACCAATGAGAGTCTTGCTCCAGAATCAATTGTTTTATACATAATACTTGAATAAATATATCCTCATCTGTGTTGATCTATCTGGCAATTGCCAAAGTAACCTCTTCTAAGTATTACTTACTTGATGATGCCGCGTTGGTCCACCGCCATTGCCATAACCCATGCCGGCCATGCCCATGCCAGCATTGCCATTATAGGCTCCTTGGCCGCCATTCATATACTGTGCGCCGCCATTTAAAGTGTTCATCATGCCGCTATTAGCGCCTGGATGCATGCCTCCTCCGCCCATCTGCTATGAGAAAGAGAGAGAGAGAGAGAGGGAGAGAGAGAGAGAGGGATTGGTTAGCAATGTTTGTTGCCTACTTTTTGGCGTCAAGTCTGCGGCTTTACCTGACTATAGCCGCCCATGGCGTCCATGTTGTTAATCTGTTGCTGCTGCTGTTGGTGTTGTTGTTGCTGCTGTTGCTGTTGCACCTGTTGCTGCTGTGCGGTGGCTGCCACCATATTATTGGTATAGCCTCCGGCACCACTGCCTGCACTCGCCGCGCTCTGACCGCTGGCCGTGCTCAGGTTGCCCAGAGAGCTGTTGCTGCTCGTATTGTTGAGGGCTGTGAATTCTGAATTGGGTCCGAATGTGTTGTTCAGACTGCGCAGACTGTCGCTGCCGACGAGCTCATTGCCGAGCATAAAGTTGGCACCGCTGTTGCCACCGATTTGTCTCTGCTGCTGCTGTTGCTGTTGTTGTTGCTGCTGCTGGTAGGCCAAAAAACTTTCGCGTTGTTGTAGCTGCTGCTGTTGTTGGTATAGTTGCTGCTGCTGCTGTTGGTTGTAGTACTGCTGCTGCTGTTGTTGTTGTTGCTGCGCATCCAAATTTGCTGTTACGCCACCTGGTGGTGAGATTTGGCCCCCTGTGGCTGGCGCCCTTGAGGAGCCCGCCTGCTGGTTCATTTCATCATTTTTTCTGCAATAATCATAAAAAAGACAATAGCATGAGTTACGATTCGTCAAAGTATAGTTCATTGACTCCAAATCCTCCAAATGCTCCATGGCCTCAGCAGTTTCCTGCAGCACAGCATCCATAGCACTCGCAAAATTTCAAAAAAAATTTAGAGTTCTCAAAACACGCGAAAGTTTTTCTACAGCATCCAAAATTTTCTTGTTCTCTTAGTAGCGAAACAAAAACGAAATGACAAATTTCAAAGTGACAAAAAAGAGCCAACACACAAAGTAAATATATTTGTATAAACTTTTATGAAAGCGTTTTAAAAATTCCGGAGCATAAATTCTTTTCGCAAACCATAAATTTCTATGTTTTACGAAATGACGGAAGAGTTGTTTAGTTATTTCAACAAATCTAAGGATTTTTAAAGCAGGCTTAAATCTCGTAAATTATTCTACAGTATTTTTGAAGTAATGCCTTCAAACTATCATATTTAATTAAATTGTAGACTATACTACGCAAAGAATTGAATGTTCCTGAAGTATCTGTCGAGTCCATTAAAAGTAGTTGGAAATTGAGAATTGACTGTTTTCTTTTTTTTTTTTTTTTGATGTAGTTTTCTCTTTTAAAAACTCATTTATTCATTACCACAAGTATAGTAATAATTCTGAAGGTAAACGTTTTATGTGAAATTTCACCCTTTTAAGGGGAAAATTGGAAGAAACAAAACTAAAAGCAAAGTTGAAAGTGAACGACCACACAGGTTGTCGTTGTTGTTGTTGTTTTTTGTTGTTGTTTTGTTGTGGCAACTCAATTAAAAGGCCAACACACCCGACTCTCTACACACGCCCTGAAAGCACAAAACACACTCATGCACACAAAGTACTCACTCACTCATACGAGTACAATCATTAGCCAATATTTATGCACTTTTCCGATTGCGGGCACCTGAAGAGGAGGCGAAGGAGATGGGCGGGAACGTGTGTGGTTGCTATAGACTGACTGTGTCTTACAGGTGTCTAAAAATGGCGACAGTTGTGCTGTTGACAATGATGTCATCATCATCAATAGCAGCCACACCAGCAACAACAACCACAACATCAACATTAATATCATCAACATTGTCGCCATCGGCATCACCATCACCATCGCCATCGTCGTCATCATCATTCATAGTCATTGCATTACAATTATGGGCTTTGCCTTTTGCCATTGCCATTGAGCACATTGGCTGCATTTTTTCTCGATATTCCATTTCTCTTCTTCTTTTTTTTTCAAATGTCAGATGGAGGGTGTGTTGTTGTTGTTATTATCAGTGTAGTGCAGTTTTGATGTGCATGGAGATGAAATTTTTACTTTAATCGAAAGGCCAATATTTTGATTCAATTGTTGACTAATTGAAATATCCGCATGTATTTTCAATAAAATGTCAAAGAGTAATTTTTAAAAAAGCTATAAGTATTGAGCTAACATCGAAAATATAATTTCTTGAAGCATCGAGAGAGAGAGAGAGAGAGAGAGAGAGAGAGAAATAGTAGTTTGTCCTGAGAAATCTGTTATCTTAACAAAAAGTGTTTTTATTTGACTCTTTCATTATACTTCTTTCCAAATGAGTTATTGAAATGGCTTTTTAACGCAGCGATATCGAGTAAGATATAGTTATATACTATAGCTTTTAACCCATTTAATTATGTATATTAATACTAAATGCTTTTTATCAGACTTTTCCGTTATACTGTTTTCAAGATCGAACCGAAACTCACGTACTATTCTACTAAACTTGTTTTTATGATATCGCATGATAAAAAGAAAAAATAATCACGAGTGCTTAGCTGGCAATTATCGGCATTGCATAAAGGTAGTGAGTACATAAGTACATACATATGTACGTACATATTTATAATATAGTATCTATGAATAGGTGTGTGTATGTTTGTGTGTGCGTTGTTGCTTCTGCTGTTGCGCTTTTGACATTTAAAGCGTGCGCTTGCAACGTCGAACAACGGTAAATGCCAAATGGGCCGAGGGCTTGCAGCTTATTGCTAGTTAGTTTATACCTATTTTCCCGCACCACCCCCCTCCCCCTTACACACTAGCCGGCACACTAAAGCTAAACCTTTGTCCAGCGTGCCGAGTATTTAAATTGCCTTTGTTTTTTGTTTTTGCATTCATTTCAATGGCTGCGCACAAAAACGCAAAACGCGCGACTTTTAAGGTAAAAATAATTAAGCACACATACATATTTGCCAGTCAAGCATACGAGAGCCAGCAAGCAACAACAACAATTACGCGCATAGGCGCAAATATGAAGCGAACGGCAATACGAGAATACAAACAGAACACACAATAATAATAACAATAATACTAATAATAATAATACAAAACAACAACATAAAGCCCCAAATGAAATTGGAAAAAATAAAGTAACACGCTCGCAATAATTGCGCATCTACAAAACAAGCAAACGTCGACCGCACACAGCAACAGTAACAGCAACAACAATTACTAGAGAAGCGCACATACACACATACACATTCATGTACAATACATAAATACAACAACAGCAAGAACAGCAAGACTACGAAATGGCAAATGCAAATAGCGGGACACACATACAGATAGACAAGCAGGCAGGCAGGCGGGCAGGCATACACTAAACGATTGACTTGACTGATAATCGCATGACGAAAAGCAAAGCAAAGCAAAGCAACGAATAGTGAAGTAAAGTCGAGTCGAGCCGAAAAGCGATTGCGACAATACTTTGTTGTTGTTGTCGTCGTTGTTGTTGTTGTTGTTGTTGTTTCTGTTGCAGCCAAGTGTCAAATTAGCATGAAGTAGTGAGAGAGTGCTAGAGGGGGAGAGGGGCGGAGCGGAGCGGAGAGAGAGCGCCAGCGAGCCAATGTAAACAAACAAAATGCAGGTCAGCGGGTCGTTCTCATCTTCATCATCATCATCGTCAACATCGTCTGCAGACTGACCAGCCACATGCATACATATACATACATCTTTTTTGTAGTCTGCTTCAAGGCTGCTCTGAAGATGTCACACACACACACACACATACACACACACACACATACTCGTATGCATGCATATGTATGTATATGTGTCTAAACTAGCGCGTATAGTTATGCAACAGTAAAAATTGTAGGTAAAGCTGACTCTTTAGCAGGAAGCAAATGCGCCAATATGTATGTATATGACCTTCATGTAAGCACACACACACACACACACACACACAAACACACTCACTTATATGCACATGCATACATAGTAACATGCACGCAAAGTACAAGCTCGCTGTGCTTCAGATGATTGATAAAAACTTGTGTGTAGAGAATGCCATTACAACTACAACAACAGCAACAGCAACAATAGCTGCCAAATGCTGTTGATAAAAAAATATATACATATCTACATATATTGACAAAAAACAGCCGCATCGAGCATGACAGCGATAACAAGGCAGTGTGTGTGATGCGGTACGGTGGAACCTCACCTTTAAAGGATGAAAATTAGATATAATCTAGAACCGGCATTTTATCCTATAAACCGTTCAATACATTATATCGATTTATTTTTTAGTCTGAAAAGTTGTCTCAGAGAGTCTGTTGGAGAGCCCCTTAGAGAGCATCTCAGAGAGGTCTTTAGAGAGTCAAGTGGCTGGCAAGTCTTGACATCGATAAACAAATCCAAACATTTTTAATGCAATCCCAATATACCGCAATATTACAAAACTTCCGGAAACTCAATAATTATATAGAAAGCATATGCCTAATCACACTTTTGGAACAAATTTAAAATTTTGGAAACAACGCGATTACTTGGCTTTTCATTGAACAGCACAGTTTTTATGTGTTTTTATTTTATGTGCTAAATATTCTTTCCCAGAGCTGCCAATACAGTTTCTTTTTATAATTTTCCATAAAGCTATGCAAATAATTCATTTGTGTGCAGTTGATTTGCCTGTCTGGCCTTAGATTTTAATTTTTATAAAAGACTTTAAGCTTTCTACTTCCATAGTCGGTTACGACTGTAGCGATAGTAGGTGAGAGAGCGCTATCAAACGGCCCCGAGGTAGAGCAATTAGTCAGTCAGTCGGTTAGTCAGTCATACTATATACATAGTCGTTGAGCGGGAGAGCTGGTGCTGGCACCTGAAAGTTTGTTCTACTTATTACGTGACGAACATTTGCAACTGTTGTTGCTGCCCAATGGCTGTTCTATAAGTGTATAAGTGTGTGTGCGCGCCGATCGCCAGTTGGTTCTATAACTCTCTGGTCATGATGACGACAAAAGCTGTCAGAGTCGCGTCTGCTTAGATACTTTATTTTGTATTTCAATTTTCTGCCAGCCTTGCTGGCTTTTGTTTTTTCAACTCATTGTTTGTAAATATGTTGTTGCTGTTTTTTTCTGTTTCTGTTTTTGCTATGCACGCTTTGTCGTTGTTGTTGTTGTTGTTGTTTTTTGTACTTTTGATTAGATATAAATTTCTTCATTGATTAGATAAAATGTGCGCGCAAGTTTTGTTCCACGTGTGTTCTGGTGTGTGGTGGAAATCAGTGTTTCTAGCCTATTGTTGCCCATCCCCTTGCATCCCCTACACCCCCTTTCTTTCTCTCTCTCTCTCTCTCTCTGTCAACCCTCTCTCTCTCTCTCTCTTTCTCTCTCTTTTGTACTGTATGTATTTATTGTGCGCACTTTGATTTGGTGCGGTAATAAAATAATTTCCCATTTGGCACTCGAAATTGTTTCCGTGTGGTCGACAAATGTTTTTGTTGCTTTGCTGATTTTCTGTTTTTATTTCTCTGTTTTGCATTGCCGCAGAGGAGGAGAGTTGGGAAGGGGTGATCGAGAGGGAGGGGGTAGCTTGTGTTCGCGCACAAGCCGTGTTTAAAATTAGCAACTTTGCGTGTTACGTGTTTGATGTTCATAGCTCTTGCTTATATATTTTCCTATTGTATTTATTTCTATTTTTTGTGCCATTTTCCCCTCTATTTATTTATTTTTTCTCTATTTTTG